AGATACCGAACAAATCGAACCACAAATAAGATTTTTTCTTGGTCTACCTCCAGAGAGCAAAGTTTGCCACAAATGTACATAAATTTTGGTATAGTACAAAAGCTATTTATATTTGAAAAGTCAGGCAAATCCAGTCTCATTTAAATATAAATACTTTTTTTTTCAAATAAATCGTTTCCAGGCCCATTTCCAAGAATAAAAAGTACTCCCATAATGATTTAACCAAATACAATCGATTCGAAATTTCGATTTGTTTTTTTTTCGAAGATCGATCCTAGAAAAAGTTTTCTCCATGCGAATTTAGGCAAAGGGTAAAAGCTTTAAATCAAATTTCCTCCAGATCGAGCGATTTAAAACTAAATCCGATTTTTTCGAATTTCATTTGCTGGAAATTCTTTTCTTAACGGAACGAAGCGTCGTGCGAAAAACACATTTGAAAGGTCTCGGATATCTATCGTATAATCAGTGATTTAGACAGTAAGTTCATCCGTCAAAAATTTTGGAAAACATTCTTTAATATACATATTTAGATCACAATGCAATAAGTAAATTCAAAAGTAACTGGTATTTAACTAGTTTATTTGCAGTTAATTGTACAATCAGTGATTCTGGCACTGTTTTAAAATTTTCGTACTTCACTCAGTAATACATATGTATGTATGTATAAAAGTACCTTAGCATACTTAAAAATTGGGCAATACAAAAAAAAAAATATACAACTATTGATTGCTTAACAAAGGAAAAATACCCAATGCTCCATAGGCAGTACTCAATAGAAGGCATTGTAAGACGCTTTACTGATAGCAAAAGTTAGATTTACTTATTTACACACGCCTTCGGTACATATTTACATATCTATGTACATATATATATATACATACATATGTATTCATTTACTAATTTACATGTGTTCACATAATTATTAACAAGTTTATACTTATGTAAATATGTATGTTTGTATGTACTCTATACCAGTATCTTATTTAGCTTTAGCCCTGCATGGTTCAAGGTAAGATTGATATCCATACTCAATAGCATATGTGTATTTGTATGTACGTGTACATAGATATGTATGTAGGTAAATAATTGATGGGAAAAGTGTAAGAAAATATAAAAAAGTTTTTCAGTTGGTTTTTCACTCAAGGTTTCAGCTGACCCGTCGTTTTGTAGTTTGGACATATTGTATATATGTATACAGCTATATCATATGTATGTGCGTATGTTATGTTTGTATGTATGTAAATAAGCACATTTGTCTAAGTTATGCTATTTGCTTGCAATGCAACAAAATTAAATGGAAATATTTACAAACAAATACATGCACATATTTATGTACGTTTATATACGTAAATATGTATATTTATACCTTTGTACTAATGTAACGACTTAATTGCGACTTAAAGAAACATCTAGCTAGCAGCTGTTGTAATTCACGTTGAGAACTTTAGACGCTTATGAAACACAATACAACTAACGACAAAATAATAAGCAGATATACCTACATACATATACATATACATATACCATCAAGTATATGTATGTAAGTATATGTAAATGCATACATACAATCCCTCATGCATAAGTAAATACAAAAATTAAATAAAATGGCATGCAATATATGTTTAGTTGGGGTTTTTTTATTTCCTGTCATTAGACGTTAAAGTTGTTGTTTTCTGACTTAGACGAGTAATTGCAATGTTGAGCAGCAATCAAAAAAAAAAATATAAAAATATTTTAGCAGGATAAAGCGGTTTGCAAGTTCACAAATGTACATGCGTACATATCTACATTCATATGTACATAAATGTATGTATATAATACAGTATTTATAATTATACTCAGTAATGACTTTTAAATATGGAAATAAAAAATAATAATAATTTGTTTGTTTGTGTATTAACGTGTGTATATAAAAATAAATATGTTCAAAAGCAATAAAATCGCATGAAAACTGCTACAAAAGTTAACAGTTGCTCTTCAAAAGCTCAAATTGACAGCCATTTGCAGTAGTAACCCAGTAAAAAGAAATTATTGTGCTCAAACAGCAAATTGTCTTAGCAAAAAAATATTGAGATAATATAAATACAACAACGTATGTACGAGTATTTCAGATAGTTTGAAATCCTGCTCTCGCTCGACTCTCTCTAACCTTACTTAGCTCTAATATTAAATACATAACGATGAGACCTAACCTCACTTAATTCCGAAAACCGCTCAAAATCAATAGCAAAATGCTCGCTGGGTTATTTCTGCTAACAACAATTTTATGGCTGATATGCATGTGCATTAATGTATATACAAATGCATATATATTGTACATATTTACATCTATATGTATAGAAATAACATTCTAAACACTATTGTTAGTCATACGCCGCGTTCAACTTCAAGGTTTTCCACATTTTGCGTACTCATTTGCTTGACTTGTTGTTTTTGATGTAGTTCTAAGTTGTTTTACGACTACAACGACAACGTGCATACATATACATACATATGTACGTGAATGTATGTTTATATATGCATGAAAGCGCAATTAATTTAAAATATATTTTTTTCATTTATTTTCTTGCTGCTGTTTTTGTATTTGTTCGCTGGCTACATTTAATTATCAGCGACAGAAAAATTGCAAATGAGCTCAAATGCAATAGAAGAAAAACAGTAATATGAAGGAAGTAAGAACGGGAAGTGAAGCCCAGCAAAGTAAAAACTAAATAAATAAAAAAAGTGAAATAGAATGAAATAAAATGAAATAAGACAAATCGCAGACAAATAGAAAAAAAGATTAATACAATTAAATTAAATAAAACTAAGCAAAATAAAGAATATAAAATAAAGTTAGGTAAAATAAGTATGAAATAAAATTCAAGGAAAATAAATAAAATAAAAAATATAAAAAAAATAAAATAAAATAAAATAAAATGAAGTAAAATAAAAAGCAAAATATAAATAAAAATATTTGATAAAAAAGTTAAAAAAAATTAAATAAATCAAGCAAAAAAAATATGAATAAAAATAATAGACAAAAAAAATAAATAAATCAAGCAGGAAAAAATATGAAGAAAAATAAAAATAAATTTAATAAATTAATGCAAAAAAAGAAATAAAAAAAATAAATTGAATTGAAATAAAACAAAAAAGAAGAAAGAAAAATAAATTGAAATACAATAAAATAAAGAAATATAAAAAATGTAAAACTAATAAAATTATATAAAATAAAATAAAATGAAATAAAATTAAATTGTGTAAAATAAAAAAAAAAACATTTAAAATAATATCAAGTAATAGAAAAAAAGTTATTAGAATATAAAAATAAAATAAAATACAATAAAAAAATGAAAAATTATCATAAATAAAAGAAAAAACCTATAAATTGAAATTAACTCTTAAAATAAATAAAACAAGATAAAGCAAAATAAACAAGAACAAGATAAATAAAATGAAATATGGTAAAATAATTTATAACAATATATAAAAAGAAATAACCTCAAATGAGATAGAATTGAATTGTATGAAATAAAAACAAAAAGTAAGACAAAATAATATTAAATATTAGGAAAAAATTAAAAAATAAATAGAATAATATGAAGTTAATTAAAAAAAATACAATAAAAAAATATAAAATAATAATAAAGAAAATGTTATGTAATATGTGAAAAATTAAAATGATTTTAGATATAAAACAAACTCATAAAGCAAAGTAATACGAATTGAAATAAAAGTAAAAATAGATAATAAAATTTAAAGTAAAATAAAATAAAGGAAAATAAAAAAGTGAACAAAGAATAAAAAAAATAAATAGAATAATAAAACCATATATTTAAAAATAAATATAATAGTACGAAGAAATATAAATGAATATAAAAACATATAAAATAAAGTAAAATATTTTAAAATGTAATGAACTCTTATAAAATAAAAAATAAAGTAAAACTTAATATTAAATAATAAAAAAATATTTATAAAATAAAATAAGAAATAAACTGGCGTAAATTGAAATAGCTTAAAATGAAATTTAAAAAAAAATTAAACAATTTACAATTAGGTGGAAAAATTATATAAATAAAATAATAAAATAAAACATTTAAAATTAAGTGAAATAAAAATACAATGCAATTAATTCAAATAAAATAACTTCTTAAATGATATAAAGCAAAATAAAATAAAAGGAAGGAAAAGGAAAAAAAGTAAATAAAGTAAGCTAAAAAAATTAGATAAAAAATTAAATTAAATTAAATAAAAAACAATAATAAGATTAAAGTAAAACTGAATAAAAACCAAGAATTAGGTTAAAATAAAACTGAATAAATTAAAAACAAATTACAGTAAATTAAAATAAAATACTTTCAAACATTTCATAAATTTTCGAGCGGAAATCGCTTCGCCAATACAAGATATGAAATAAAGTAAAATGAAAAAAAGTGAGGTCAACCAAAAAAAATACGAAAAAAACAGTTATAATAAAATCAAATAAATTAAATAACATATAAAAACTTTTTGTGAGTACTATAATTGCAAAAGCTTTATGTTTTTTCTATAACCGTGACTGTAGATTACTGTATTCATCTGCTGCATTATTCTTATTTTTCTGCTTCTAAAGATTTGCCTCCGCTTTCATATTCCATTACTGTAATTATGAGCACTGTGATTATTATTCGCAGTTTTCGCGCTATGACAAGGCCATAATTACTGTCATACATATACTATGTATATACATACATACATATGCACGCCAACATCAGTGTGTAATAATGAGAAAGATAGCCAAATGGAAAATTTTTTAAATGAAAATCTAACAATATGACAGCATGTCAGCGGTCCGATGCACTAATGAAAGAACGCAAAGAATGCACATACACGTATGTATGAATGTACGAGTATATATGAAAATTTGATATATACATTTGTGCATAAATCAGATAATCTTTTGGATAATCTGAAAATTTTATTTAGCCTTTATTACTTGTGAACATACATAGATAGGTATGTAAATATGCTTTTACCTCAAATATACGTGATAGCATAATTCTCCCTCTGGTTTTTCTGGTTTCTTGCAGAATACTGTTAGTGATCGTCAAGCTTTAAATATTTTGTAACCGCAAAGCAGAAACAGCCAGTTGAAAAACTAAATCCTTTTTGTTTTTTTTCAATAATTTTATTTAGCTAAATATTATTATTATTATTATTTTTTTTTTGAGGAACTTTCATTGAACATTTTTTTCCCCTTCATCTCAACTACCAAAATGCATTCGATACAGCTTCCCACAGGCTACTGTCTAAAAATTGCTGAACAGTCAAACTGCAATCAACGTGTTGTCTCTACAATCAGCAGTTCAATCAGGCAATCATACCGCATAGGGTATTCACAGGCACTCACATTGACCGTTGATAATCGGCTTTGATTATACTACGAGTATATGTATGTCTCTAACTATTAATCATTTGAAAGTTTTTTATTTAACTTGCTGGAAATACATTCATATATAAATACTGGTATATACGTGTACATATGTACATATGATATGTGTGTGTGACAAATGGCGTGACATGAAAGCAATTATAAGTTTTCGTGACGAGCAGTAATTAGTATATTAATATTCTATTGGCAGGATAGATAGTTTTCTCTGACTACCAAAAACAATTTCAATATGAAAAAAAAACAATAAATTGATTTGAAGTATTGTGGTAAATTGGAAATTGATAAGGATATTATTTTTAATAATTAAAATGATTTTTAAAGCGATTTTATGAGTATCAAAAAACTAAATGTTGAGGAATTTTCGTTAAGAGAGTTTGGGTGCAGTTGAATTTGTTTAACAATAAAATTTTCAAGCAAAAACATCCACTTATTAGATGGAAGAAATTACACAAATAGTATGAAGAACGCAATAATATAAAGAATATATAAATAGAAAATAAAAAATATATAAGCAAATAAAATATCTATTTTACCAAAAAACTAAAAATAAACCTATGAAAATTAATGCATAAATGTACCAAAAATAAATAATTAATTTCATCAGAATTATAGAAAAACATTTAAAAATAATTAAAATTAAAAATAAATAAATTTATTAAACAAAAATATGTATATAAGCTAAAGATTAATTACATATTATGAAAGAAATGAAAATAAAAAACAAAAAATAAATAAATAATTTTATGAGTTTTCGAATATCTAATTAAATAGAAAATATAAAAATAAAGTAATAAAAAATAAATTAGTCAAAAATTAATGAACGTATTTTTATCAAAGAACTACTAATAAATGAAAATTTATTCAAAAGCGAGGAGCAAATAAATTGTTAGTTTTATTGAAGTTTTCCAGCAACAAATTTACTGAGAATTAAATCAGAAACAAATATAAAAAAATAATTAATAAATACATAAAAAATTAAAAAATAATATAATATAAAAAATTTATTAATAAAGAATATGAAATAAATAAGAAAATAATTAAAAATAAGTTTTCCTAAAACAAATAAAATAAAATTGTAAATAGAAAGAAATAATATGCAAATAAATTGATTAAAAATAAGTGAATGTGTATATATCAAGTAAATAAATAACAAATATACAATAATTACCATAATCAAGAGATAAATGACTTGTTTCATCAGTTTTCGAAAATCAAATTTAATAAATTAAAAAAAAAAATTAAACAACAAAAAATTTTTTGTTAAAATTTAATGAAAATATAAAATAAAAAATTATTTTCACTTAATTTAAAAAAAATTGTAAAGAAACAAAAACTAATTAATAATTAAAAATTAACTTTAAATTAATGAATAAAAATTAATTCCAAAATAATGAGTGAAGATATAATTAATTTTAAGCAAGTTTTCCAGCAACAAATTTAGTGAAATTTAAATCAGAAAGAAAAATTACAAAAAAATTGTATATTATACTTCAATGAATAATTAAAAAGCTAGAAAAAAAAATAAATTAACGTAAAAATAAAAACCGGTTCAAAAATAAATTTATTAAAAATAATGAATAAGGAATTAAAAATTTTATAAATATAATATAAATAAAATAAATTTAATTAAAATAAAAACAACAAAAAGAAAAATGAATAGATATATGAAAAGTAAATAAGACCAAATCAAAATAAAAAATAATAAAACAAAAATTATATTTTATAAAATTTATAATAAAATTACTTTGTTAAAAATAAAGGAATAAGTATGTTTAAAAAGAAAAAATCATCAAACAATTTTATTTAAGTTTTCCAATACCGAAATAAATAAAATCGGAAACAAAAACAAATAGTATTAAAATAAAAATTTTGCACGGACCAAATCAAATCAGCTAAACCACATTAATGAATAAAATATCTAAAAAAAATTTAAATTAATTAATAGAAAAAATAAAAACATTAAAACTGAATAAGGTAGATAATTAATTAATTAATTTTTGAAAAAATAAAAATAAAAATGAGAGCCAAGCCAAATAATAAAAAAGTTATTAAAATCTAATAAATAAATAAATATTTTTTTAAATTTAATAATTAATAATAATTAAATGAGAACAAAAATGTAACTTAATAAAATATTTAAAATTTACTTAAATTAAATTAAAAATAACTAAGAAATTATTGTAATTTTTTTAACGGAAAAGTTTAAGCCATTAAAATTTAGTAATGTGGTAAATTAAAAAATTACAAATCATTAAGTAAATATTTTTATGAACTTTTTAGAATAAGTCGAAATGAAAACAAAACTATACAATAAGATAAAGTCACTTAAAACTAATAAATAAAGAAATAAATATTTTCATTACATTTTTCAAAAACAAAATATTTTAAATTAAACAAAAAAATTACAAAGTTAAAACGATTAAACGAATAGATAAAAAATAATAAAACAAAAAAATAAAAAAAAGTTATGAAATTCTGTAAAGTAATTAATTAAATAATAAGAAATTATTAAGAAAAATATTTTTATTAACTTTTTTAAAACTAAACCAAATAAAAAAATTAGTTAATTAAACATAAAAAAAAGAGAAATAAATATTTTATTCAAGTTTTCCAAAAACAATTTAAATGAAAATGAAAGCAAAAACAAATTTTTTATAGTTATAAAGAACAAAGTAAATACAAAATATATGTACATATATAATTACTAGTAAAATTTATGACATGGTAATTTAAACAACAACAAAAAAAAGAGAACAATAACAACCAGAGCAAACTACGGAGAAATAAATCAAATTGGTAATAACGAAAAAAAAAACGGAAATTATAAAGCAACGATGCACAACAACTTGATGTAATAAGCAAAAACAAAAACTTTGTAGCAACAATATGGCAGTAAAAAAAAAGAAATCTATGAGCGCAGGTCCAGCACAGTAGTCTACATAATAGTAGACACAAAAGTATACTTATTTACCGATATGATTTGCATGTATGTATATATATATATAAGTATATAAAAATATTTCATATCTATCAAAAATCTACCAACATTTGTAGGCTACCAGTTTTCCCTGAACTTTTCGCTTTTCCTTTGTAGCTGATGCGCCGCCTGCCTGACTTTCTGCCTACAAAATTTGTTTTATAATTTATTTAACTATTTTTTTGTGCTCTTACAAATAATGCGCTTTTTGAATGTGGTTCGTATGCTGTGTCTCACTGCGGTAAAAGCACAGTGTGGCCTATTTTCAATGTTTTTTGTATACCTTTTTATTCAGTCAGCAGTCGAATTCACGTTCAGATACAATCTTTCATGCATATGTATGCATGTATGTATGTATGTATGTATGAACATACATGCAAAGAGACAAGTACTACAAATTTATTCCAATGCGTTGACTTTGTAGACAATCCAACGGTATTTTATTTGAATTTCAGACGCAACTTTAACCAGTTTCTTTTTTACCTTTTGTTGTTTTTTTTCGTTTTTTTTTTTGTATTTCGTATTCAGTTAAAGTTTTATTTACCTGTACGTTGAGCTCGGTATGGTTCCGATGTTGGCGTTGTTTTTTTGTTTTGTAGATTTTTGAAACTCTTTTTGTTGTAATTTGTATTTCTTTTTTCTGTTTTGTTTTGTTTGGCACTTAACTACTTATGTTTGGAAGTCGGTATCAAGATAAATTGAAATATGTACATATGTATGTATGTTTGTGAATGTATAAAATTTTCCATTCAACTTTTTGCTTTCTGTGTTGGTATATGATTTTCAGCCAATATACATATGTATGTACATGCCTACAGGGCTTTCTTTCTACACTTTCTCAAAATCTTTGCGCTTTAAACTTATTTCGGGTAAGTGAACTTTCAGAAATGACTAAATATTTATATAACAAGAAGCGAGCTTCGACAAAATTTTTCAATTCTTTTATAAAACCACATTTCTATCTGAACAAAGAGGATTTTAATTTCTTCACTTGAAATCCTCCGAGGCATTAAAAAAAGCTTCTCTTGAAGGTCCCTAAAATATTTTCCGTAACCAAATAACTTGTTCATATAATTTTATTCAAATTAACTAAATCAATTATTTTTTCTTGCAAATAATTGAAAATATATATAATATCTTTCAAAATTGTACTACCAGTAAGTCCAATCGCATAAAACTCCTCAATGCTTTAAACAGACTCGATCATTCTGAGGCCTCTGCGTCTGTCTTACTTATAACAGCACTGTTCGATGAATAGTTGGGCAGCAAAAATGTTTACTGAATTTTACTGAATCGCCTTCGTTTAGGCTAAAAGCCGGTAAATTCTGGTAAATTTGATACCTCTGACGCGTTTTTGGCGCTACTCACTAATTCTTACTGATATTTCTCACCAATTTTTAGTAGAACTCACCTTGGTATTCCGCATTTCTCATATTCATATTTCTATTAAAGTTCGAAGACTTTTATGCCATCCTCCTTAAGGGGTAAGGCCACTGTAAAAGCTTCAAAAAATTCATTTTTTTTTATTGGCTAAAAATATTCTTTAAACCTTCGAGACTAAAGAACAAAAAGTCTTGCTTTATTCGATATCGATTTCGTTGAAATTCCGAGCCCTTTTACCTTGCGCACCAGGCCGCTCCGATATACAAGGTGTGTTCCAAAGTTAACATGACTTTTTGAATCAAGCGCCCTCTAGGGGCGCCATATAGAGGTCGACTAGTGCGTTAGAAGCTGCTATCCTTTACCGACTTTCAGTAAAGATTTCATGACATTTCATCTATTGGAAGTTGGAAGTTTAAGTGTCAGTATGCTTTTGTCATCGGTGCGAAAAAAAGCTTCCAACAAAGAGCCCACATTAAATTTTGTTTTAAAATTGGCAAATCTTTTATCGAAACGTTTCAATTGATAAAACAATTTTATGGCGATGATTGCCTATCCCGTAGCAGAGTGCACGAGTGGTTTCAACGTTTTCAAAGTGGTCGTGAGGACATAAATGGCGATGCACATGTGGGCCAACCAAAATCCGTGAAAAGTGAAGACAATGCATATTTGTTTTTATGATTCCAAGATCATTGTCCATAAAAAATTTGTTCCACCCAGCCGAAACTTTAATGCGGTATTCTACCTTAGAGTTTTGAAGCGTTTGTGCGCCGTCTTCGACGTGTTCGGCCCGAATATCGCGAACATGAAAGTTAGCGTTTGTTGCACGATAATGCGCCGTCTCATCGATCGACGATTGTGGCCGATTATTTGGCCAAAAATCACATTTTAACAATCAACAACTCCCCGTGTTGACCTGTTAGAGCACCGTGCGACTTCCACCTTTTCGGAAAAATGCATTTGCCGATGAAAGGAAAACGTTCTGTCTTTTTTTTCGTATGTCTCAAAACTTTAAGTGCATTTTTGTAGAATCACGTTTGTTTGAGTTAGCTCGCAGCATAACTGAAAAAATTTTCATTATTTTCAATTGCCTTTTTACTTACAACTTTTTAATATTATTGCAAAGAGAATGACGTGCGGGATTTCCAACAATTTTTATAAACTAT